CCGCCCCCCCACGCCGCAGGTGGGAGCCGAGAGTGGGGATGCAGCCGCCAGCCTTTCCTCTGGCCAGTCAGCTGTGCAGTGAGGGCTGCTCGCTTTGGGAAATACTCCAAATAAGATGAGAGGTCGATCTGAAGATTTTAAACTTGAGTGAACTCCGAGATAAGGGTTTGTGCGGGAGCTATCCCAGAGCAGTAGTTCTGCAAGAGCTCCTGCAGCTGGTTTCCTCATTAATGGAGATTGGGATAGATGGCTCTCGTGGGAATTATGGATGTGGGTCTACTGTGCTTTGAAATTGTTTGGATGAGCAGTACTATATAAATATGCGCTATTCTTCTTGTCTCCATTTACCTTTTTTCTTATATGAAATGTGGAAAAAGACATGTTGTCCATGTGAGGTTTATTTAAAAAAAAAAAAGAAAAAACCTCACTGTGAAACAATTTCACCATGGCTTTGTCCTCTTGCGGTTTGAAATAAGGACTTGGTCGCTTCTGACATGTCAAAGAGTCATCCATACTTTAGTGTTGTTTTTGCTAGGATGTGTCTTAGCACTCTGCTATTACAAGTTTTCCCTGACCCTAGTCTGGGTATTATCCCACTTAAATGTTAAACATAGAAATAATCTGTTGACACTGTTTAAGATTTCGTGCTAGTCAGGTCATATCATGTTCGGTCTTAGATACGTGCAGAGCTACTTTGTCGTAAAAGATATGGTGGAACATACTTGCTATCTGTTTCAGTCACACAGGCAAAGGACCAGAGAAAGCAGAAGTTTTCTGTATTTTTTTTAGAATAATTATTAATAAAGTATTGGAGTAAAAACGAATATGTGCTTATATTTGAAATATACACTTCTTACCTACATGTGTCAGGCCAGAGTTAGAGTGCGGAGGTTTGTGTGGCGTTCATTTCCTTTAATCTCTTATCTTTTGCTGTTACTGGGTATAAGAAAACTAGTTATTCTTGGGGAGGTCTGTGCTCCTTCTTCCTCCATACAATTATTTATTCTACCTTTCAAGTCAATTAGGTGTTCACTCTGATCATATCTTCCACTTCAACTTTGAGAAAAGTCAGACAAAAGTTTGGACTGTGGAGCAGTTCAGAGGTAATCTAATGGAAAGCTATCTTTGTATCATTTGAATCTACAGCTTTCACACAAGCTAGGCCTGAATAAACCTGTGAAACAAATGTTCACATATTCTTTTACATG